TTATTATTAAATTATGTAGGCATTAAAATTGTATATAAAAGCAAATATTTGTACTATACTTACTAGGTTGAATTTATAAAATTAGAATTTAAGAATTTTTACACTATTTACAAATTATTTTCAACCTTCTTTAGTTTAATAATTTGTACATTTTACATATTGAGTTTAAAATTAATTTTTTAAATAAAACAAATATTATACTTTATTACAGTTTTCAGGAAACCAAAGTTTATTGTAAATTTAAACTTACTGGATCATCAGTAAAAGTGTACTTTGCCCTATGACGACCATGCTTAATGTGTTCCTTTATATTTATACTAATATCATTATCACTGGGTTTTGTCCAACTTTGGCTTTTATCAAAACTTGACATCTGAAAAAATACTTAACATATAGGTAACAATATTTTAAATGGGAACTTTTCTGTTATACATTCCTCAACTTATGTAAAACTTTGTAAAACCACTTTGGGTTGGTAATCGGACTTAAAATGGCTATAAATTCAAAACTAAATCTGACTTCACTATTGGTTTTAAAATTATTAACAATATAAGTATGTTACAACACTGAAAATTRCGGGGAAAATTACAAGAAATATATAGGTACCTTAAGATGCTATACGTGTAAATTAATTATTAGATATAAGCCATATACTAATTRTATAAAACCTGAATAATATTTAATAACTAAAGTGCACTTGTAAATATTATTCATTTGTTATAATATACAGTAGAACTACTCTTGTATGCCCTCGGCTAGTTGGCCGCTCCGGTTGATCCGACCATAGTATTATTGATATGAATACTATGTATGTAATTTAAAAAGTACAATTTGGATTTTTCAATTTGTAGTAGATATATAAAATTAGTTGCTAGTTTAATATTTCCCTTGTTAGTCTGAGCTAAGTCTAGAATATCATTTGCTAAACAAAAATCTATAACTGGCTTTTTTTCTAAGTATTGTAAAATATAATAAATTTCTAATATAATCTTGTATGTAATATGTAAATAAAAATGTTCTGTATATTCTGATAATCCGACCACACCCCCAGTCCAGAAGGTGACGGATTAGAGAGGTTCTATTGTAAAAGCATGCTCAGACTTTATTTGCTGGATATGCTGGTATTTTTAAATACAAAAATGCRAAAAATAATTACTCAATACTCATAGTATAAATAACTTATCTCATAATCCAAAGACAAATCTAATTTTTTTTTTAAAATTACATGCATTATTTTTTTGATTTTAGTTTTAGATATTTGAATATGAACAGTTTGTATTGTGTTTAATTTCAATAAAATAACAGGTGTAAAAATTGATAAAAATAAGATCAYATTTAAAATAATAAATTATCACAGTAAATGATAATCTAATTAGGTAATCAAAATTCTTTTACTTTTAATAATAGTTTGAAAAATAAGAAATTGCATAGATTCCACAAAATCCATCATGAGTTTTTATTTTATTATTTATAGATACTTATCTGAAATGATTATTAAATATTGGCTTGAGATAATATTATTACAAAATCTATCTAATAAATATTTATTTAGTTTTAACCCTCAATATGTATAAGAGAAAAAATATTTAAGTTATAATCATGAATCCAATCAAAAAATGAAATGTCAATAAAAAAAATTTGGCTATCCAAAAAATCTTTAAAATTGAATACAAAGTTTAGTAGTAGAAGTTGTAATTATTGTAGTAAAAAAAAATCAAAAGTCGTTAGTCTCAATATTTGTTAATAAGCATTTAATGATAAAATGTTTACGAAATATGTCAAAATCGCGAAAATTTTTATGGAATTATGAAGTTGAAAATTCMTAAAATTGTTGTGACTTATAACTAAGGTTAAAATAGCTAACACAAGGTYCCCCATAACTTTTTCTTCAAATAACTGTAAAAAAAACTTCAGTCAACATAGAAACCATTTTTTGTGTGYATAAAATGTAYATTTAAATATTGCACAAGTATAAAATATGTTATAATTTAAATATAGGTAATGCAATATATCCTAGACTGACAAATCATCTCCGCTCAGAATCATTTTTCGTATATAATGATACCTGTCATTGCAATATAAGTATCACATCCATTATAGTGACCTACTCTCCATC